TACATGTGTGTGTTCGCGCGTGCGTGCGTGCGTTCGTGCGTGCATGCGTGTGTGCGTGCGTGCGTGCGCGCGTGCGTGCGTGCGCGCGTGCGTGTGTGCGCGCGTGCGTGCGTGCGTGCGTGCGCGAGTGCGTGCGTACATGTGTGTGTGTTCGCGCGTGCGTGCGTGCGTGCGTGCGCGAGTGCGTGCGTACATGTGTGTGTTCGCGCGTGCGTGGGTGCGTGTGTGCGTGCGTGCGTGCGTGCGCGTGCATGAGTGCATGCGTGTACACCTCATTCTCACCATCATATTGCAGGCTACGCTACGAGGGTAGAATACGTTGGTTGTTTCTTTACTGTCATCGTCCAAAGCGACGGCACAAAACTCAGAGACGCCATGACGTCACGTGTGAACATGAGAAACAGCCTGACCCCTGCCACATGCGTCAGTCACTGTGACCCACAAGGATACACTTATATAGGTACGCAGCGGGGCGGGGCAGGGGACGGGGGCGTGGGCGGGAGCGTGGGCAGGGGCGGGGCGGAGGGGCGGGGGACAGGGACGGGAACGAGGGAAGGGGGGAGAAAGGGAGCGCATTTGACGGGGAGCGAGGGACGGTGGGCGTGCGGGGGTGAGGCGGCGGAGGGAGAACTAGGAGACGGGGCGTGGCAGGGCGGGGAAGGTGGCCGGGGGACAGGGATACGGGTGGGTAACGGAGGAGGGGGTGCATGAAGAACAGAAAACGGAGGATGGGTGGGGGTAGTGGACGTATGACCCATGGGGGGGGGAGAATGTGAGCATGGGTTACTGCTGGAATTCCTAGTTGCACAGGTAAGAGAATGCGCCATTTCCCGTGTTACCTATATTTAATTAGGCTCGCATTTCACGGCCGTTCCCGGCTTTACTTCTATTCCCGAATCGTGACAAATTTATTCCCGTATCCCCCCCCCGATCCCCAGGTAAAATTAACTCGGTCCAACCCCGCGGCCCGACAATAACCACCTTTTGTTACATACGTAGGTCTGGACGGCTGGAATTGCCGGTGTGGCAATAAGCCCGGCAAAATAGGACGGGCACCGGGTTGGTGTTATATGCCGTGTCCCGGCGACCGCAGTGTGATGTGCGGGGGCGACGGCAGCAGCTCTGTCTACCGTATACACCAGGGTGAGTGCAGTCAGGTTAGCAGTTATATGTATAGTTATTAGTTAGTTATTATATCGTTATTGATCATCGTTATTGCTACTGCTGTTATTATTATATTTTTCATATTATTATTATCGTCATCATCATCATCATCATCATCATCATCATCATCATCATTATCATTATCATTATTATTATTATTTCCAAAGTGGATCACGGCATTAGCCGGTGACTTCTGGGTTGACCGTGTCCCAACCTGGGACATAGGGATTCAATCCAGAATTTTTCGCAGGATTTTGCCTCTTGATGTGCAGTCGCTCTGCATCTGCTTTTGGGTGGTGGAGACCGTGCATGCTTAGTAGCTTTTTTGTGTTGCGATCCATCCTTTCGATATCTGATCGCAACCAGTTGATCACCCCGAAGCTGTACACGGGGACTGGGAGTGCCAGGCTATTGATCGCTGTTATCTTGTTTTTGAGCAGAGCTCAGACTTGAGAACTAGGCGAACTCGGCGATAGTACTCCTTAGCAATATTCTCCTTCATCTTTGCATGCTAAATACCATTACTTTCGTCTACACCAAGATGTTTGTGGAGGTGGTCCCCGTGGTTCAGACTTTGTAGGGCCGTCTTGTCATCAAGCTCGATATTTCGACTTTTTACTAACTTACCACCTTTTAAGATTGCGGTTGCACACTTTTCCAAGCCGAACTTCATTTTGATGCCATCACTGAATGCTTTGACTGTTACCAAGGCCTGATCTAGCTTATATTCGTTCTTGGTGAACAGTTTAAGGTCATCCATGTAGAGCAGGTGGCTGATGGTGTTGTGTTTATCGACTGTAAATCCTAGACCCTGTCTATTCAGCATGTTGGTAAGCGGTTTTAGTGCTAAGCAGAATAGCAGGGGAGAGAGCCAGTCGCCCTGAAAGATTCCTCTCTGAGAGCTTCTGTCCTGAGGCAGCCTTCTTGAGTAAAGAGGAGCATTTCAGTTTTCCATTTCTTCATTGTAGCTTCCATGAACGGAGTGATGGTTGGTGACACACGGTAGATTCTCATGGCTGCGAGAATCCAGGAATGTGGGACATTGTCGAAGGCTTTCTTATAATCAATCCACGCCATTCCTAGATTCCTCTTGAGCTTTTCTGCCATGCTCACAATCATGTTACTAATGAGAAGTTGGTCTTTGCACCTTCTAGACGCTCTTCTACAGCCTTTCTGCTCATCTGTGAGGATGCCACTCTTCTGTAAGTGATTGTAGAGGCGGTTGCTGATTGCAGCAGTGAGAATCTTGTAGGTGGTAGTCAGGCAAGTCATTGGTCGATAGTTCTTTGGTTCTTTTGTATCCTTGCCTTTAAAAAAAAGGAAAGTGATTCCTGATGTCAACCACTTAGGGCTATTGCTTGGATCCTTGATGGTGTCATTCAAGGCCCTGGTTAGTTGTTTATGGAGAGCACTTGAATGCTTAATCCAGAAGTTGCGCAGCTTGTCTGGGCCAGGAGACTTCCAGTTGTGGGTCCGCTTGATGGCCTGCTGTACCTCACACATTCTAATGTCAGTCCATACATCCATTGCTACATTCTGAAATGCTACATCCTCTTGTTTGATCCAAATGGCTTTGGTATTGTGGTATGTGCCAACTTCTCCTATTACACGCCATAATTGATTGAGTCGCTCTTGAGAGGGAGGTTCCTTGGTGGTGCTTTGCTGCTGGTTATTTCTGCGTTGGTGGACTGTGCCTGCGGTGTTGGTGCTGCTTCAGTTAGGCCAACTTGAGATTGGACCTCGGTCTGGTTGCTATCTGAAGCTTGGCTGTTAAGGTTTGCCGACTCAACAACCGATTTTTCGACCTCAGCTTGTCTGGCGATCACTGAGGGACGCGCTCCTTGTTGACCCGCGCGACGAGCGATGCGGTATGACTTTCGTATTGGCTTATTCATCATGGCATGATATTTACTATTTAACCCATAGTTAGGGTAAACCTTTCCTGGACATCAGGCACGTCCATACGTCCCGTGGCCATAATGCCGCAGTTATCGGAGTTTGCTCCTCCAGATCGAGAGCGGTATTTTTTTATCGAGACACCATCTCTAGGGGTTGTCGTTCAAGGCTAAAGAGTCCCTCCTACCCATGAGACAGACTTGCGTACGTCGGACGCTAACCCGATACTTCAAGGTCTTAGGGAGAGCTCACAGGTACTACACCTTGCTCAAGGGTGACCTGGAGGTAGTTGGGGTGGCAAAGGGTATCCTCATCTCCTCGCCCACGTTGAGACTCCACCACCGATGCAGTAGAAAGTCATACCCAGGACGTTTATTATTATTATTATTGGGTTAATTATTATTATTGTTGTTATTATTATATTATTATTATATAATAATATTATTATTATTATATATTATTATCATTGTAATTATTGTTATTATTATTATTATTATTATTATTTTATTGTCATTATTGTTATTATTGTATCATATTATATTAAAGGAAATGGTAGGTCCATCGATTATGCAAAGTTGACGAATGCTACAGTAACTGGCACCTTGTGTAGTTAATAAGTACATTACCTTATAGAGCCAAACGCGT